CAGGGAGCATAACGAGGCTGCACCTCTGCATTACCCGAGTGGATTAAAATTGCTGTGAAAAGGATATCCGCCATACAGAGTAAAATAACCATGAGCAGGAGCAGTCAGCCTCGTTCGCTTCATCTTCATTTACCTCAGCAGGGAGCTCCAATAACACGCGGACCATGGCAGTTGATGCAGTGATACCACACCTTGGCACATCGAGTATATCCTCTTTGCTTAGATGCATACGCAGTGAAATTAAGAATTACGTTTTTGTATATCATCATATATGATGTTGGCACTCGAATCAAGTGCAAGGATCTATTGCCAAGTCATCATTTCAATCCGCAGCATCATAAATCCAGCTCTCAACAATCACAGCCCCCCCATTCAACATCACATTGTCACATGCAATAGAAGATAAAAATCTGGCCCGAAAAATTACTGCATTTGTGAGAATGCTAGAAAATTACAAGAATAAAAAAAAGGAAAAGTAAGAAAATAAAACATCTTCCGTCTCGAAGATCAATCCCTCCCCCAAAAAATCTGAAATGACGAGAAAGTATTAAATCAGGCCACGCCCGGGATATCGTACAGCATGAGCATATTACACAGATATGCTCCTCCTTCCCTTCGTAGCATAGGGACCATTACACATAACATGAGATGAATTTCTAGGAAAAAATTGTGTTTGAATGCACACATTGCAAGTTTGATGACATAGGAAAAAGATAAAGAAAGCAACTCTTACTCCGCGGTGGGAGTAGCTGGTTGATCTGACGATGTTGCTGTCTTATCTGACTTACCGGTACTCTCTTTGTCCTTGTCCTTATCTTTGGTACTCTGCTCCTTCGGTCTTGAGGCTAGCGAAGTCGTAGAGGAGGAAGGTTTCTTGGTTGATGAGGATGTAGTTGAGGACGAGGAGGTTGCTGATGGTTTTCTAGCTGTAGACGAGGACCGGGTGGAAGAAGTAGTAGGTTTTCGTGTTAATGAGGGCGAAGATGGCGCTGCGGCGGAAGAAGAAACCTTTCTCGTTGTTGAAGACGATCTGGCTGTTGATGTGGATCTTGTTGTTGACGTGGATCTCGCCGTTGACGAAGACCTAACCGCTACCGAAGACGATCTTGCTACTGGAGCTCTTGTTGTTGACGTGGACCTCGCCGCTGAAGGCGTTCTTGTTGTTGACGTTGATCTTGCGACTGACGGTGTTCTTGTCGTAGATGTAGATCTTGCTGTGGAAGAAGTTCTTGTTGTTGAAGTGGATCTTGCTGCTGAAGATGAAGTTGCTCTCGTTGTGGAAGTCGATCTCGCCGTTGAAGACGTTCTTGTTGATGAAGAAGATCTAGCTGCTGAGGAGGAGGTTGCGGATGTAGAAGAAGATACCTTCCTCGTCGAAGAGGACTGCGTCGCGGAAGGTTTTCTGGTGGAAGGGGAGGAGGAGATAGAGGAGGCGGGCTTCTTGGCCGAGGATGGAGACGCGGCAGGTTTTCTCGCAGACGAAGAGAGAGTTGACGTTGACGTTTTGGATGCAGGCTTCGCCTTGTCCTTGTCTCCGGGCTTGGCGTCTTTAGAAGCAGAAGAAGAAAAAGAAGTTTTTTTTTTGCCCTTTTCGGCGCTGGACGTTTTTTTGGCTTTCTCGTCCGTCTTGGCCGTGGCGTCTGGGGCGGGCTCAGCGGCGGGCTGTGATGTGACGGCTTCTCCCTCTGTGGTGTGCTCGGCCTTTTCATTCTCCTCTTCCTTGTCCTCCTCGGCCTCCTTCTTCTCATCAACATCGTCGTCGTCGTTATCGTTATCGTGGTCATTGGCACTTTCCTCTTCCTCTTCCTCCTTAACTTCTTCAAGTTCTTCATGTTCCTCGTGTTCAGATTTATCATCTTGTTCATCAGATTTGTCCTGTGCCTCCTTTGTATCGGGCTTGACCTCCTCGTGCTCTTCTTCCACAGCCTTTTCCTTCAGGCTGTCATCTTGCTTGACTTCAGTCTCCTCCTCTTCCTTCTTGTCTTGGCTCTTCTCGACTTCTTCCTCCTTCTCCTTCTCCTTCTCCGCCTCTGGCTCTGCCTTCTTGGGCTCCTCTGCCTTTGCTTCCTCGACCTTGACGGGCTCCTCCGCTTTCGGTTCTTCGACCTTGGCTGGTTCTTCTGTCTTCTCCTTGGCCGTCTCGGCCTCTTCCGTCTTCTCCTTTGGCTCCTCCTTGGGCTCTCCCTTCGACTCAGCCTTTGGCTCTTCCTTCTTCTTTCCGTGCACCTTTTCTCGCAAAGCGTTCAGACGAAGCTCCTTAGCCTTCTTTGCAGCTTCGTCGGCAATGGATTGCACGGACTGCACAGATTGCACAGAGCGCACCGTATCTATGCTGGCCCTTGGGGTTGGACCACCGCCAACCTTGGGCTCAGGGACTGGGCCAGGGGGAGGCGGAGGGACGGCCGCATCGGTGGCAGCTGCAGGCACAGCTTCACCAGAGGCTACACCGGCGGCAGCTTTGGCAGCGGCAGCGGCAGACTTCTTGACTGTCTTCTTCTTCTTGACCGGCTCGGGATACTTGTGGTCGATATCGGGAATGGTGAATTCGTCGTAGTAGATCTTGATGTGCTGCTTGAGCTCGCCATACTCGTTCCACTCTTCGATTTCGACAATATCCTATCCTCTATGATCAGCTGAAATGTCCTCCATGTCCCGTTGAGTGAGCTGTAAGCCGCAACCAAAAAAAAAAAAAAAAGGCCACCTTACCCCTAAAACAAGCCCCTCTTGCACCAGCGCAGGAAACTTCCTCGCCCGGCCGTTCTCGTCCTTGCCGGCACGACGGCCCCAAAGCATGCGAGCCTTGTCATCGGTAGAAATGTCGATGGCCTTGAAAGGAACACGGTTGGCCCGCAGAATTGTCTCGAGACGTGATGTCGCAGTGACAATGTGTGAAGAGCCGGCCGTCAACGACGTGTAGATGTACAGCGCGGGATCGGTCGAGTAGGACGCCATGGTGCTATGCTATGCTATGCTGAGCCAAAGAAGAAAAAAGACAGAAAACACACAGAAGCAGCTACACAGAAGGTTAAGCGATCGCTAATCTTGAATGCTCTGGATTCCGAAGTCACGATGTCGCGTCCAAGTGTCAGCGATGCATTGAGCTGTTTGCCTCTACCCGGGAGATGGTCCAAGCTGTGGGGGGCGGGGTTCCAGTAAGTAGTAGTACTCCATAGTGCCTGGATCGAGCGCTATAGCGGGCAAAAAGGGGTCGCTTCAGTGGGAAACTGTGATGGGCAACGCTAAAACGGGCCTTAATTTGCGTGCAAGGGACCTGTAAATTGCAGCTTCATTTGGCCTTCGTATCGCCGGGTAAGTAAGCAGGGTGACAGCCGTGCCAGATGGATCGGGGCATGTCTTTCAGCTGCGATGAGCATTTACAGGCCCTGCTTTGGGGGTTAGTTTGTCTGCCGTGGCGAGAAGCAGGCATAATTAGCTGCTGATGGAAGCATCTGAGCTAATAAGAAACTGGAAGAGCTTGATCAGTTTGTACTGTAGCTATCACGGCATCACGGCTATTACAAGCAACAGCAGGGCGAATTCAATCCCCGTATACCGGCTGAGCCGAAGCTGAAAGATTGCCGATCCTTTCTCTCTTTGTTGAACAAAGAATCGGGTGTAAGAAAGCAGTTCACAGCCAACACAGCACGGACACTCATCCAAGCATCTTCCTTCTTATTGGCTTCCAGCTTCGTATATCCTCCCGTAGAAGCAAAATAGAATGCCGAGAATGGTAAAATTTGCGCCTCAGGCACCAAACGGCAGCTGAAAATAAACCTGTGACTAAGCCATTGTCGGACTTTCGGCCTTTTGTCCTCCAGCTGCATTATAATATGGAGCACGCGAGAAATATCGCGCCGCCACTCACAAACCGGTTTGAACAAGGCCTCACTCCACCACGAAGAAAAAAAAAAAAAAAAACTCAACTCCCAATAACTAGTGTGGCGTCTGAATGCACGCTGCCACATGGTGCCACATGGGAGACCCAAAGTTCTCTGCCTTGGCAGGATCTTGATGGACGAGTCAAGCTGGCCCATCTCGTGAGTCAGCCCAAGAGAACTGCTGCACCAACGAGCTAATCGGCCGACACAGTATTAACAAGGGGCATCGAGCGTCTCACAGCACGGTAGCGTCTCTGCTCGGCGAGCGGGGGAAGCAGTTTGCCAAATTGCCAGTGGGGAGAGAAGAGCCTGGAAACGCCCAATTTCGCCCTGGCCTCTTCTGTTTGTTTTGGCGCTGGCTGTTGTTTGGGCTGGAAGCGCGCGCAATGGCCTGGACCTGGACCTGGAGCCGGGGGTCGACCAAAGCTTAAGATAGGGGACCTGGAACGAAATGAGCTCGCCCTCCCCTAATACGCTGCGCTGGCGCTGACACGGCGGCCTTGAAACGCGCACGACATGCCCGGCCACGGCTACCGGCCTGGAGCCAATTTCAATTTCAACCGGAGCGAGCACAGGCAAAAGCACAGGCACAAGGTCCAAGTGGAAGTGGAAGTGGGTGAGGGATTATGTGTGACCGGCGGCGTACATACATGCTGCATACACAGTGTCCAGCTCGAGCATGGATGGGAGAAAAGAAAAGCCTCGAGTGAGATGGCGAGAATTGGAAAAGTTTTTTTCCTGCTGTCGTCAGCTTCTGCCAATCAATAGCTGCTGAGGTTGCATCCAGCAGCGCTGCCGAAGAAGCATATCGACCACAGCACATGGCCAATCCCGGCTCCCGGATGCAAGAATAGCTCAACGGAAAGGAGGGTCAATGGATCTAGGATGCGCTTCCGAGAGGCCATTTATGCAAGGTACCGCGAGATGGCCAGTGAGATGCTGGCTCAGGTCCACCATCGGGTCTTTGTTGCGTGGTAGTGTCCAATCACAACAGGTGCCTGGATGCGCCAGCCCGCCAGCTCACAGAGCCAGTCCACAAGCCGCTCAATGGTCTGCGCCATGCTAGCAATGCTAGGTTGACCGGTCGCGCCCAGGCTCCGTTGGGATCCATTGCCATCCTACGTGGCCGCTGCCTGGTGGAACTGTCAGAGATTTCCCACCGGCAGACAATCAAGACAAAAGGGAAACGGGCCCCTCAGCTCTTGTTTGGATTCTTCTTCTCCCTCTCTTTCTCATCACTCACCACACTCTTTCAATCACTCTCTGAGCTGTCTCGACGACATTGCTACTATACACACTCTCTCTTCTAAACTGCTATACGCTTACTAGCCCGGTGCTTCTTGCCCACTGCTCTCTTTCAAGCAACAAACAAACTAGATCCGAATTCAAGTCCACGACTCAATTCTCAACAACAATCAAAATGCAGTTCTCCACTCTCCTCATTGCTGCCGGCGCTGCCGTCGTCGCTGCTGATAGCACCTCAACTCTGACTGCTACCACCACCAAGACCTACACCATCACTCAGTGCCCCGAGACCGTCACCAACTGCCCTTACCGCACCCCCACCGTCCCTGTGACCACCTCTGAGGCTGCTTCCACCACCGAGGCCACTTCCGCTGTTGAGATCACCACCTCTGCTGCCGAGACCTCTTCTGCCGCCCCGACTTCTCACTACTGGCCCGTCTCCAACTCCACCACTGCCACTGCTGCTGGCACCAACCCCGTCGGCACCGGTGCTCCCACCACCATTGTCACCATTCCCTCTGGCACTGGTGTTCAGCCTACCGGCCCTGCCGCCAGCGGTCCTGCCGGCACTGGAAGCGCTCCCCCTACCGTGCCCACCAGCGGTGCTACCAAGGAGATGGCTCAGTCTGGCGTCATTGCCGTTGCCCTGGCTGCCGTCTTTGCCCTCGTCTTCTAAACGCGCAACTTCTTTTTCACTTCTATCTCATGGGGCCAAAAGCTCTATGACCTTTTTCAACATTCAATTCTTCCATTCTTTACTCTTACAAATTCTTCTACGGGGAAGGACGTTTGGTGTTTTTTTTTTCAACTGGGGGATTGCTATGTGAATAGATGACAAATGAGTTGGGTCGATACCCGGTGTTTTTTGATGGCTTCACTTCTACGCTCTGGATGAGCGGGCTGATGTTTGACGACGGCAATGTCGACGCATCAGATGGGCGTATGGATGCAGCATGGGCTATTTTGGCGCCGTGACTGTGGCGAACGCTTTTTTGGATATGCCACGATTGGGCTCTCTTGGGATGAGACATGAACCAAAAAGCTTTTAGATACCTTTGCATTTCAATTGAAAAGAGACTGGCTTGTCACGATTACTCTTTTTGTGTTTCGCTGTGCATTGATGTAGATGTGACTATGGTAGACTGACGCGCGTATAAGCCATTGCCACTGTTTTGAAGCATCTTAGCCAATGTCTTTGAAAGAGATTTCGGAAACGTCGCCCTGCTTATGCAATAGCTGCTGTTCATTTTACTTTGAAGTCGTATTCAGCCCTCCTTGCATACGAGTACTGTACAACAGCAACACGTCAGTTCAAACGCAAACCATCATCAAACCGTAAGCACTTGCATGCCTGAGCGCAACCAAACAAATCAGCATAAGAACAAAAAAAAAAGCTTCAGCAGATTGAGTTTGTCCAAAATCATCAATCACGCCCGTTCCGTTTCCCGTCCCGCAGCTAATGCAAGGGGGAAAAAGGCAAAAATACATCACCAGTTCGGTATACACTTTTCTAAGCTTGTCTTACACACTGTCGCCAATTAGCGTTCACGTGTTTATATACTCGTATATAATCGGTAATATCGAACTGTTGCTTTATAAGAAAGAACTTTCCGTCAATCCGAACAAATGTCGATCCCTATGTTAAAAAGAGTAAAATAAAATAAAATTTATTATTAAACAATAACATGCCCGGGCTTATCCGATCCGACGGATGTTTTTAAAACTCCTGTAGTACGAGTATGTAACCATCCATACGATTGAAATTCCCCAGGTTCAGGTCGCCGACCAGAAAAAATTACAGCCCCTCCCTCCCAAATGCCCGCAGTTTTTAACTCGTTTGCTCGTATACCCACAAACTCCATATATCTTTTTTGCCAGGCCAGGCACCTGTATTTTAGTTAGTAGAAACGGTTACAGAAAAAAAGTAAAGAGGGGCAAATTTGACAGCTCCGGCCTAAGAGGAGGAAAAAAAAAAAAAAAAGGGAGGCAGGGATTAAGATCCATATCCGTTTTCTCCTCTAGTCTGAATATGGGTTACAAAAAGGCACAAGGGGAAGAGAGGGGGGGATTTTTTGATCGGCTGGATACGGGCCGATGGAGGAACGAACCTCTCCACCTCGGATGGAAAGTCGAGTTACGGAGAGAACAGGAGGAGTAGATTGCATTGCTGGGAGTTATTGCGTAAAATATCATGTAAAAAGGGGTTGATGGGGACAAACGGTTTGGAGAAAGAGGAGATCTTGTTGCTGGGGAACTTTGGGCATGGCGTCATTATCACGGCTTGGACATGGGGTTTTCTGCACCCAATTGCGTTCTTTGTCTGGTTGGACTAGATCAGGAGGTCTTGTTTCGAAACCTGGAGCTTGAATGCAGGCATGGCAAGGGGAATATGGGGTCAAAGAGACTAGGCTTCGAGTTAGCAGTAGACGACTGACTCTAGAGTAATAAATGCGTATTTCTATGTTACACTAGTAAAGACAAGACCCTCAACTCCAGCTTGCTGTAAATGTGGATTAAAAAGAGGACAAAGCATTGTTAAAAAAAAAAAAAAACGACTGTGTTCCGGTCGGTGCGTCCTGTATCCCCTTTGTATGTGTATGGTAACAATGGGATGGGAATGCTAGAATGACAGAGTGACAGAATGCCACCCTCCAACCCCATCCACTTCTCGTGGCCTCGTGATTAACAACTGCAGATAGAAAAGGCAGGAAAAAAAAAACAATGAAAAATTAGGGGGCCTGCCATGGTCCCGCATCTGTTATATCCCTTATCGTATACCCCTCCAGAATGTGCCTTTTGCAAGGCGCACGCAAGTCTAGAAGCTGCGTTAAAGCTCTCTGCATGCCCAAGAGCTCCATGTATGCCAGTTAAGAAAAAAACAAAGAAAAAGCCGATGGAAGGAAAAATCCCGAAAGAAGAGACAGCAAACGCTAGGGAAAAGAGGGCGGACGAGCGGGAGGGACACAAACACGACAACGTTGAAATCAAGGACCCCGGCTTCCAGAAGTTCAAGCCTAATATGGGTACTCCGACAAAATCACTCTCGTTTGTTGCGCATTCCTCTGAGTCCGGTGTCCACATTCGTGTTTTAGGAATCCCTTGGCATAGGGGGCTCAACATGGACAAGACATGAACAAAGCCGGGTTCGCATGCCTCGGCAGCGATTTTAATCTTCAAAGTTGACAAGTTTGCTTCCTTTCACACCACTCCTGCCAGGGGGGTCCCCTCAGCCGCACCCTTTCCCAGAAGACTTTTTGGGTTTTGTACTGTAGTAGAAACGTACCGCCCCATGGGTGAGCTTTTTCGCTCGGGGGAGAGAAGTCTTCCAGTAGTAGTACCGGCCCTAGCAAGACACCAATCAAGAACACGGCTGGCCATTTGCAGCGGCGTAGGCGCATGCACTGCAGAGTGAGCAGTTGGAATCAGCTAGAAATGGGCAGTCGTGTGTCATGGCGTGAGCGCATTTCTTATTGGAGAAGGATATAATGCCGGGGGTGAGGGTCTCAAAGTATATGTGAACGTCCCCTTCTATTGGTCCGCGTGATGACAATGGACATGACATTGGTGACTTGGCTTGATGTATGGCTCTGTCAGAGAGGCTTCTCATATTGACAGAAAATTGATAGAAAGGATATCAATGTGATATAAAGGGCCCGTTGGAGCTTTAGCTGCTTCGCTAATTCAGCCTCTTTAGTTCAGAAAGCGGTAGTCTGCGTCCGCAGAAGAGACTTATCGAACAATAGCTGAAGAATTGTTTCAAAAGTTCCTCGGATTGTGTTTGGTTGTGGTTGTGGGGGGCAGAGGTATAATAAAGTCAAAAGAAGAAACTATCCAATGGTAACGTGTGATGAGAGATGTACTGGTGATAGTGACGACAAAACTTGGGACGTGAGTGGCCTTATTAAAGTTTGGAAGAGGAGTAAAAGAACAACCAGTGGCCTCTGATAAAGAACAAATGGGAATTCAGAGACAAGGGTTTCTGGCAGATGTAAAGCTGGCAGGCCACATGAACACCTGCTGCGGCGCGCTTACTAGTATGTACGATGAACAACAAGGCTGTCAATGGGATGCTAGTCGTAGTTCTTACACAGGTAAACTGGGTCGAGCTCTGCTGCTCCACCTCCCAAGATACAAAGTAGGGCTGAGGAGACGGACCAGGAGCAAGTTGATGGGAGTGTGACTGGGGCTGGGAGTGTGAGCAGGTGAGAGGCGTGTGCAGGCAGGGGAAACAAAACCGAATCATGGCAGTTGATGTACAATCCATGCTCGCTTCGGCATGACGGGCGACGCCGCAAACGACTGGTGGGCAACCGGCCCTGGTATATGTATCTTGGTGTGTGCGTCTTGACGCCTGTGTGTGCGCGCTAGGTTTGAACGAGTGAATGAGTGAGCGAGTGAGAATCAACGAGCGCCAGTAGCACAGAGAGGACGAGAGAGGCAGAAAAGTAGGCATGTGTGCGTGAGAGCTTTGAGCACACCCCCCTCCATGAATCCGGCTGGCTTTTTCATCGGTCTCCACGCTTCCGTGACGTACCGGCCGGCCTTGAGGAGGTTCCGTTGTGTGGGAAAATAGGAACCACGATGCCTGAAGGATGCGAGGTTCCGAGACTTGAATTGATATAGTACTCCGTACACTGGGGTAGGAGGATTCTTCCAAATCGGGGACAGGTTCGCTGCAGAGCTCTTGATGAGGGTGTCCAGCTCATCCACGTTCTGCCGAATATGTATATCGAGTCGTGCCAAGCATCTGCATATTGCACGTATGTACCTTTGCTGCCTCTCATGATATGACAAAAAGGGATCTGGCCACCCCTCCACCCCTCTTCTGGTAGGTCCATTTTGTGTCTGCCGCTCAAAAGAGAGACGGCATCCCCTCGTTTTTTTGGTGAGTACAGTAGCGTACTGTCCCGTCCGAAGGCAGGCTCTTTATGACCGCCTGCATTACACACATCCACTGCCCAAACACCAAGGGAGCTGGCGGTGAGGCGCTGCAGTCGACAGTCGCAAGAAGCTGGTTGCAGAATTGATCACGTTCATGAGAGAAGCCTGTCACAAATGCCTAAATCCTTAGATTTCATAGCCACATCCCCATTCCGAGCCAACCAGTGACGACGCCTCACCCAGGCCCGGCCAAACCTGACGGGGGTCGGGATTACCACAGATAGGTCCAGATGGGATAAGTCTATCCCAGATGGCCTGCTAATGGATGGCGGCAGCACGCCGCGGCACTGGCTGTCGCTCGCCTGGTGGTAGCTAAATGGCACTTGGGTACGCTGGTCTGGCCAATGGATAGGTGGGGATACCGCGTGGGCAATCAATGCTCCTGGAGAGCCCGGTACGGGTTGTCTCCAATTCAAAAAAGAGTCTCCATCCATCCATCCATCCCTCCATCCTCATCCTCCTCATCCATGCGAGGGGCGACCTTACCGAATGCCGGTCGAGGACAATGGGGGGAGAGGCGCCACAGGAAGCCATTAGCGAGACGGATACAAGAGGATTTTACCGAGAGGAGAAGGGCTCGGTGAAGTTTAGCAGAGCAAGGCGCGGAATGAGCTCCGTCGAGATGCTTGCCAATAGTGCTTCGCCAAAAGTTGCTCGTCACGGTACTCGGTGAATGGGGATAGATTTGACCAGTCGCCACTCTTTGTGAGTGTACTTCGTACGCATCGCATCACGGGGAGAACCGATAAGGGGCAAATCTAAACTGAGCACATGTATGGCCATTGCGTAATGTGTATTTGCAACTGGCTGGGCATACGAAGCGTCTTCTTCCTGACGGTACGATGTAGTGACTACCTATGCCCAATTGAGCCAATCGAGGTTGCGGTTCATGTGTCAGGTAGAGCACTTGGGCCAAGGTGAAATGATGCGAGACGGCCCGGGCTTAGCTTGAACGTACTCGTACAGTACTCGTACGGCACGGATTTGATTCCTGGTACAGGGCAATGGCACGACGGCTCCTTGTCTCCCGGAGCCAGACGAGCCAAACGAGCCAGGCTTGCCCTCAGCTGTGCTTATCCCAGCAACCCAGACTGGCGATTGTCGATGGTCGCGTTCGGTTCCGAGGCGGCGTTGTCTGAGCCGTGGCCATGTGCGGGTTTCGGGCGGCACTCGTCTGAGACCGTCTGAGACCCCTCCGCAAAAAGTGACCCCCATTCCCATCCCAGCGGCACCGTAGCACTGCATGTCTGACCTGACGCCCACGCCGCGGTTCTTCTGCTTCTGCTCCTTCTAGAAGCTACAGGTCGAGAGCCTCTGCAAAGGATTGGATGGGCGCTGGCGGCGAGGTGGCAAAGGAGGGAGGAGGGAAGATGGAGAAGAACCAGGAGAAGTCAGAAGTCAGAAGTCAGATAGAGGCCTGAATCAGTCAGTCGGTGCTTCGGCTGTTGGGGCAACTGACTGATGACGACACAGCGCGCTTCATCGTGCCTTCCAGCGGCCGCTGAGGCCAAAATCACTTGACTCGACACTCACGGCAGGAGCAGCATTGGCAGCCTCCCAGCCTATCAGATCAGATACAAGGCCCTGACCAACCTGTAGGTGATACAGTAGTGCTCCGTGGTGGTACTACAAAGGTACTAGGTATTACCGCAAATAAACTCATACCCGGACAATGGAATCCATATATTACATCCAGGAATGGCAAATTGATCTTTATATTGCAATCTAATGCCTCTCCTGTCAATGGCTGCTAGTCCTGGAATAGGTAGGCAGATAATACTTTGCATCTACGAATGGACAACAAAAGCTTGCTCTACTAGCTAAGCGGAAAATAGACAGTTACTGCTTACCTGGGCAAGAAGAAGATCCATGAAATCAGCAGTCGCAGCCGATTGTTTGTCTGTCTGTTTGCTTCCTGCCTCGCCAAGCCAAGAGCCGCAAGGCTTCAATATTGGGTGACGACTGACTCCAGCTCCTCCCAACAACTAACTGGTGGATTCAGCGATTCCTTCTTCTCCGCCTCAAAAAAAAAAAAAAAAAAAGAACTCGGAGAATTTTGACCCTCGCCATGACATGCCTTTCTTCATCCCGACTCTCACGCGGCCTTGCAATCGGTGCGACCCCGGCTTATCAGACTCGGGCTTCGCCTGATCCTCCGTGCTGACAAGCTTTCATTGGGCATTAAGCTATCGCCACCATCTGGTCAAGGAAAAAAGGCTTGTCTGACCAAACCACGACGGGTTGGCGCTAGAACATGCGGGTGGCTGGGCCAGACTGTCGGGAACAGACCAGCATGGCAGCTCGACGCCTTCGACAAACTTGCAAGCATGCCATGGCCATTCAGCTCTTGTGCCTGTCCTAGTGCAAAGCAGCCTCTAGCACCGTCGTGCGCGCGCTGAGCAATCCCTGCGCCCCGTCTGATCATTCCCAGACTTGGCAATGACCGGAGACGCTTCCCTGCTGTAACTTACTGGCATTGCCGCTGTCTCAATGCCAGTGCAGACAGATTGAGGCATGTAAGGCGAGACGCCGCAAAACAACGACCAATCACTTCAGATGGCATTCTGCTTCCGCTGCAGACGCCTTCTCAGAACTCACACAGGCTATATTTGCAACAAGGAGGGAAACCAAGAAAGAGACAGGCGTCATGTCATGCTACCCATGCTCCCATTGACCTAAATCTCTAGCCGCCATGGATTACTCTTACACGAACTCCGAGCTCGTGTTATGTGATAGACGGCAACTCTACGGCATCGGCACGTTCCGCTGGGTAGCTGGGCAGTGACTCATGCCGCTTTGACGAACCAGGCCAGGATTGATGCACCATCAAGTTCGATACACAAAGCACTGCGGTCCCGTGGGCATAAACGTGCGAATCTTCAACATAGTCGCGTGTACAGGGTGATGGTGTATTCTGGCCAATGTTAAGGGGGTCAGTTACTGTATTCGTCCAATCTATGCTTTGCGAATTCAGTCACGGCAGAGATATAGCCTTCCTCCTAGACTCTGCTGGAGAGATGTGATTCGCTAAAACAAGCTGCATTCTTCTTGGTAACGCTAGAGCAAAAGGCGACACACATCTGACAAGCATCATCCATATTTGGTCCATCTCGACATGATTGGACCAAACTGCTGGGGGCCGACCATGTCACGCTCTCATGCGGGCTTTTTCTTCTTTTTCATGCCTCGCATTATTGCTTCCGATGTTGGCGTTGGCGTGGCATTACCAAGGTGTCGTCGAGCCTTTCAACAAGACTGCTTCAAATACGCAAACCGGATCGGGGCTTAATATGCTCACTTAGAGAGGATGTACTTGACTTGTATGCCCACATGCCGCTGCCCCAAGTCCAGATCTCCGGCTTCCGAACTGCCGCCCTCGGTATGGATAGCGGGAGGTGCGTCACTCCCACTCCCTGTTTGTCTGGTTCTCGCTCTTACGCATATTCCGTAATAGCCGCCCGTTCAGGGCGATGAGCACGAGGGGTGTTGTTATGCACAGCCTGGGGGCCTGGTAATCGAAATTCCTGCAGGTGCCTAAATCGCATGCAGTGTTTGCCATGGCGGTATAAACCATGATCACCTTGCCCAACCTACTGGCTACGTGGCGTAATATGCGCGCACGAGGTGACAACCGGTGTCTTTTAGATGCCGCTGAATCCGCTCCTACGAGATGCCATGGGCCTTGTCCATGCGTTTCTTGGCATATCGTCATACTTTCTGCTTGAGCTCTCGTGAGGCTGAATGCTTCGTTTGTGATAGGTCTTGTTTGTGTTGAAGAACAAGTCCCCCTGGGCGAAGACCCCAAGCTCTAGCTGCCTTACTGCTGCTGACCATCAACCACCGCCAACCCAGTTGCCTCAGAACTGAAAGGAAGACGTTTCTAAGAATAGCCATGTGTTTGAACGCAAATAGCGGCAATCATCATCAAACCAATTTCACGCGAATCAATGCAACCACCCATCTCTTCAATGCTGAGTCCGAATAGCTTACTGTGAATAGTGTATCTCGCGGGCTCAAGATAACATCGGCGCACCATGACCTCATCCTGCGGAGTGGCATCCCGTCTCATAAGCCTCGTTTATTTTCGGGATCGTGCCATCCTGTCACTCCCGGCTTGACGGGTACCTTTGCCTCAAGTCCCAGCAGCTTGGTATACTAGTCGAGTGCCCAGAGGCTAAACGGAACCAAAACGGCTCCGACATGTTTACAGATAACAAGGAGCCGTGTGGTCAACTGGCTAGGCGACATTGCCAACTGTGTATATGATCAATAACATATCAACTTTATTGAGATTCGGTGTCATAGTTCACCCCTCCTCCTGGCAGATGATCTGAGACTCGCCCCAGTACCGTGGCAGATGATCCGCCTTGGCCTGCTTAGCATTCATAAACTGTTGACACAAATATGTGAGGTAAAATGCTTCTTTCAAGCATCTCACGTCCTGGCGTCGTCAGTAGGGCTGAGATAGGTACTGAAGCGGCTTATGTGAACTCTTACAACATGCCTGTGCTGCTATTCGCTCACTTGCTACACTTGGATCGTCCACTCCCCTATTTCCTCTCAGCGCAATTCACAGTAGAGAGATTCATTCCAGGTCCTGATGACTGCCGTCTGGCTATAACGGGAAAGGTCTGGCTCTTGCGCCCGGCGCCAGGCAAGTCTCTGTCGTCAAGCCGTGTCTCCGCAGGTGTGGCGCCATACTTACATCCCTTTGCTCTACTTGTACATCCTTTCTTCAGCAGCCCCCCTGGCCAGGAAACCCACGACGTTGGACCCGAGCCCAGCATCTCATCCTCTTCAGCCACATGGTGCCGATGTGGTTTTGTAGCATGTTACAACGACTACGGACAAGGGTATCTGTTGGGCACCTTCATATTAGTGGCGCTCCGGCCCAAAACGCTTCCATTCCGCGGTTTACACATACACACCCACCACCCCGGAAATACTTGACATGTCATAACTTATTCTTGTGCAGGCCGACTCATTCGTAATGTCCAACGATGCGTTTGCGACTATCGGCCTTGCTTCACCTTGCTGCCATCAGCCTCAATCATACATAGCCTTGACTCCGCCATCGCTACTGCTGTTGCCACTCCTATGCGCATGCACAGGCAGAAGCTAGGGTGCGTCAAATGTCATACGTGCAGCATCTACGCCTTGATACGCTTATACCTCGAAATTGGGCTAAATGTTCCTGATCTATGAGATCTAACTCTGGCGCCACGGCCGCTCAACTCTCTAGAACGCTCTGACCCCTGACCAGTTATCCAATTGCCCAGCTAGATGCTAACGGGACGCGAGCTAAACAACTGCTTTTGCAGAGACTATCACAGTCCGCTTAGACGCTAAAAAGGAACCACTACGTAAATAGGCGAAGGTAAGACGAGGACTGAATCAACCGCAAAACGAATGTACTTCTGGATGGGCTTGTACACGGCCCGCGGGACCGTGGCCCGTCCAATGAAATGCCGCTAGTAAGAACAGAGAAGACATTCGAGTCAATATATCTTTCCTAAGCTACCGGACATGAATAGTGTTCCGTATAGATGAGGCATCGGCAAAACGCTTAGCCAGACACGTTTTGGAATATGTGTAGTAAGCGATGCGAAGGCGATGTCGATGCACGGGGACGTCTGATGATCAAAACGATATGGGATGCCAATGAGGAGAGCCGCTGGTTACATCACTCGCTAGTCCATCGACAATCTGACATGCATTTCATGCAGCCCAGATACGCCACCAGCACCCTTACGCGCAATCAAAGTACGTTTCACAATCGATGACTCCACGTTCCGCGGTCCACTCCATGATCCATACTTGACGACTTGTCTTGATTATTACACCCCCCCTTCTCCAAGCTGGACTAAGCTGGATCATGGGTGTCTTTCCTGTCATTGAACAATGAGCGTCTAAACTCCCTGTCTGCCGCAACGCCAGTGGTTGAGATGAGGAGAAGGCGCCAGAGAGAGATAGGGAGGGAGAGAGAGACAGGGTTGGGCGATCCAAGTATTTGGAAAATAAATTTGTCTAAGAATACCTTGAGTTGGCCGATAATGCCTGTCTACTCCGCGCGGCTAAAAGAGATACAAATGCTAACCTGGTATAGGCATTTGCAGAACAGTTGCAAGACTCTCAGTCCTGTATGTACAACTATGTCAAGCCCCTATAAAACCACTATTTAGCCCGATATACCTACTCAGTCTATACGGAGACAACAACGAGACTATGGATTTGGCTTCTCTATGTGGTAAATCCTATCTGCCTTTACAAGATATGACATTCCTCGAGCATTCTCCCACTTTCCGCCGCGATGATTTCGATTTCCTTGGCAGAATCACACAAGCGGCGATTATTGGACGAATAGTGACCGAAGTTGATACCTTGCAGGCAATATTAATAAGCTGCACCAAGTTGACTGGCCCGGCGTTTCCCAAAATAAGAGGCCTGACCTGGTCTCTCCCCCCTCCCCCGGCATCCTGTCTTTTCCCACGGGGAGGGGGGGCCGACTTCGTAATCGCATGGGAAAATCTCCCGCGCGTTCCCGGGCTGATGCTTATTTACTGATGTATGCTCTTTGTGACCCCCTCTCGGTAACAAGGGGGGGGGGGGGGGGTGATGGGAAAATACCCCGGTTGTTTAAAAAGGCGATTAAAAAGAGAGAGGGAGAGTCAGGCGAGGTCTGAGCAACCCTTGGAACTGAGTCCGCACGTTTATCTGGATCTGATCAAACGTGCTCAGGTGAAGGGTTCTGGTGACGTACTCTTGTATTTTGGCTCTATTTCTCGATGGGCGCAGCGTTGCTCTTGGTTTCACGTTGCATGATGACACATGGGGTTATTAAGAACGAGAAGAAACAGGAAATAACGCTTGGGAATAATAGCGAGTAGTTTCAAGTAGTACTCAGGCGCCCGTTTAAGCTCATGACTATCCACTTGTTCGCCGTGGCTTCTCTGCTTACATGATTGCTGACGGGTTTCCAAGCGTTCAGCTGTGTCTCTCCTTGCTAGAGAGAACAGGGTTGGCTACGGGGTTTAGGGGAGTAATCAATAAATTGCTTTAAACTAAGACGGGAGCCAATAGCGAAGCAAGAGAGCAAGACAAATACCAAGTTTTGAATCCTTGTCCTGTTCTCAGCCTCATTTGGGGGACTATAGCAAATAGGCGTTCTCTTGTTGCCAAGTTTAGGTCCCTTGCTTGCATTTCTTGCTGGCGGAAAGAGTTCCGCGGCGGCGAGGAGATGCGAAATGATTACAAAGGATAGGTAATTTAGCCTGCTTTTGATCTCGAATCGATCACTGCTTTGTCGAGGCTCATGTGACTCTGCTGCTACTACGAAATCTTACTCGAAGCGGACTCTGCTACTACTACAACATCTTACTTGAAGCGGAGTCATCTTTCAGCTCTCATGCAAAACGCCCTTCGGGTCGAGCTCGAGCCGCTGGAAATGAATGATTGGGCGCGCGAATACTGCCTTTTCTGGTCTGCGGCGACCCTCTCGTTGACTTTTCACGCAAGGCTTGGGGAAAGTCGCACGAGATGCGCCTAATATGACGCTACCTTGCCTGGCGCGGTCCGAGCCATCCCTCAGGGGCCGAAGGCTACTCCCCCTCCCCCATCTCTCCTTGCTTCCGAGAGAGAGTCGACATCTCTGGAATGCAACGGGGTGCATGAAAGAGCGGAGTATGATCGCCCGCTTGTCAGCTTTCCTGGGAGCCTCACCCATCCGGAATCCGAGGTCCCTCCCCTCGTGTAAGTGGATCCTAAAGCCGATAACCATAACGCTAGATACCATGTCGAAGAGTCCTGGGGAATGGGGGCGTGGTGTTATGCTCTTTGTGATGCAGCAGAATCCATGTCAAGTAGAAATCGAAGCATTCGTATTTGCTGTCAATACGGTGAACTCGGTTTTGGTTAGTTGGTAGATAACGGCTGAATACATACATGCGTATGTATGTAGGTTTATCAGGAAGATAAAGAATGCTCGTAGGTCACGTTGGGCCGTGCCTTTTCATCACAAGACCCGTCCAACTGGTCAACCTTGCAGTTTCCTGAAGGAAGGTGCATAGATGCAAAGCAGGTATTCACCAGTGCTACCCTGCCGGGTATGTTGACTGGGGTTCGGCATCCGTGTTGAGATGTCAGCAGGGCCAGGCTGGCAGTGACCCGCTGCCTGTTCCGACAAGAGGTTCCCTCCAGTAGCCGGACAGAACAGCCCTCTGCATTGCATTCAGGCGTATTTGATATCGTATTCTCCTCATCTTGGGATAAGCTGCCTCAATAATTCCATGCTGGGGGGGACCAGCCTTTCAAAGAGCAGGCTTACTCGCATTTGATGCGAGGAGAAAGACAAGGTTGGCAAAGCCCCGTGACCAATTTCTTCGACGAAGGAGCCTGTGCCGCGTCTGTGGTGTGAGGCCTGACGCCATAACCGTGCCGTTTGCCCCCCATCTACAACCAGCGTATCGGTATTAGATATGGTACCCGGGAGTCGACGACTTCATGCCGTGATGTACTAGTACCATGGGGATTTAACCGTAGCAGCCGAATTAGCCCGTTAAAAACGTCACGAGTGAGGTATTGACAGTATCAGAAGCCTGGGAAGGTATGTCAGTGCGGGATCTGGGATGGTGCCAAGTGTTGCAGCGGGTTACCTTTTGACTTGCAGGAAGCTCATATCTATGACGATGATAGTTTAATCAAGAGATATGAAAAAGTATGAAACAAGGTACCTTTGATGAAAGCGTCGACATTACCGGGAGAAGAAATCACCAGGGGCTTCGTCCGTCCCTGCTTTGCTTGGTGATGAAGGAGCTGGCACCTGATCGATGATGCGAATGAGTGATCTCGATCAGGGCTTATCGGCGAGGGAGTGGCCTGATAAGGACGGATGAGCTACTGGACTGGGGCATGTCCCTCCAGTTTCCAATTCTGGGGCCTCGGGATAGAAAAAAAAAGAGCTTGCAGGGTGAAGAATCCGCAGCTTGGCGGCATGAAGCATCACGTTGGACAGCCTCGGCTCGGGCTCGTGGGCGGAGAGATAGAGATAGAGATAGAGAGACGCTGATGAGGGGAGACGATGAGGGGAGAGAAAGCTGGCAAGAGACCTGGTCCTAGTCCTGACTCAGTGTTTTGCCCCCTGCGCTGCCGGCAGAATCGAATTGAATCGCGTTGCCCTACTTGGCTGGACATGAATCTTAGCTCCTACTTTGGTAGGGATGAAATGCAATGAGGGGTTCGTCGGTCTGGAGCTCTGCAAGTTTTCCACCTTAGCACTGGGCAGTATCGGTACTTGATACCAAGCTATCAGTACGCGCTGCGCAAGCTTCAGCGTTAGAGCCCTCCCGCCAAACGCCTAGATCTGTTATTCCTCGGCTACGGGCAGTGCGTACTACGTAATAGCCCCTCCGTCACTCGCCTACCGATAGAGCTATCTGCCCCTCACCGCCCCTCTCACGGCCAGCACCTCAAACAACGGATTCTCGTCTCCAAAAAAGCTCGACTTCTGGTCGATGCAAAGCCGCAGATCCAATTGAAGCTGTGCAAAAGCTGCAGAGCGACTCGCCGGCCCACAGATTGCTCCACCGCCCGGGGCCACAGAGAATCTGGCCAGAAATCGCTCCTCTGCTGCTTCTTTATTGCAACTCTGTCACCATCTCCTCCCCTCCATCTCTTGACCTCAACCGCCAATTGACATTGGCAGCGTCGTCAAGATGTCCAAGCCCACGAGTGTGACGGGCAGCGAGAGCGAGTTCGAGTTCATCGAGACTCCCAAGGCTACTGCCCCTACCTTTGAGAAGGAAGAGGACTGCGGCGTCCGCACCACCAAGGTATGTCTTCTTTTTTGTTTATGTTTACACCTACTTGGTTGGGTAGCTACGTGCGCCTCCAATGAGCACTGAGCAACGGCGAGCAACGTGGGACATACTATACGCTGCATGTCCAGCTGCATCTCAGCAGCCTTCCCCCAATTGGAGCTTGAAAGAGCTGTGAGCTGATTGCTTTTTCCGCGTCTAGTACCCTGCCATCAAGAATGCACCCCTCCCAGCAGATGGACCGGGCTCCGACTCTTTCAACAACAAGATCTTGCTCTCCATCCTTGGAGGAGTTCCTTTCTGGCTGATGTGGAAGGTTGGCGGTGGCCTCAAGACCTTCATCTTCTTCGCTCTCGTCGTTGATCTGCCCATCTTGGCAGGATGGTGGCTCACCATCTCCGCCATCTCCCCTCGTAAGACGGACAAAGCCAAGTTCCCTGGCCGTCCCGTTGAGTACTACCTGGACTTCAAGAAGGAGGCCGACCGTCTCAAGTACCGTGGCACCAACAAGATCCCCATGGAGACCTTCCACGAGATGTACTTTGACGGTGACGTCGACTTCAAGGGTGACTGCCTCGAAGTTATGGAGTACCGTCATGACTGGGCTAGCTTCCGTTTCACCGTTAGCCTCATCAAGTATTTTTTGCTGGGCATGATTCCCGAGCTTATCATGCACACTCGCTCCCAGGGTAAGCTCTCCTATGCATTCCATCGCCATCTCCCCTCAGTGTGAACACATGCACTAACATTGCCCCTCCCCCGTATCTAGATGAGGAACAGGTTCGAGACCACTATGACCGCGGCGATGACTTTTACGGCTGGTTCCTCGGTCCTCGCATGATCTACACCTCTGGTATCATCTCTGACATCAACTCCGAGGAGACTCTGGAGCAGCTCCAGGACAACAAGTTGACTGTTGTCTGCGAGAAGATTGAGCTCAAGAAGGACGAGAGACTGCTGGATATTGGCTGCGGCTGGGGCACTCTCGCCCGTTTCGCCAGCGAGAACTACGGCGCCAAGGTTACCGGTATCACTCTTGGTCGCAACCAGACCGCCTGGGGCAACAGCGCCATGCGCAAGGTTGGTATTCCTGAGGAGCAGAGCAAGATTCTGTGCATGGACTACCGTGACATTCCCGTCCCCGAGGGCCGCTACAACAAGATCACCTGTCTTGAGATGGCTGAGCACGTCGGTGTCCGTCACTTCTCGACTTTCCTCACCCAGGTTTACAACATGCTTGATGACGATGGTGTCTTCTTCCTCCAGATCGCTGGTCTCCGAAAGGCGTGGCAGTATGAGGATCTCATCTGGGGTCTCTTCATGAACAAATATGTCTTCCCTGGTGCTGATGCTTCTACTCCTCTCGGCTGGGTCATTGACAAGCTGGAGGGTGCTGGCTTCGAGGTTAAAGGTGTTGACACTATTGGCGTCCACTACTCTTCCACTCTTTGGAAATGGTACCGCAACTGGATGGGCAACCGTGACAAGGTCGAGGCCAAGTACGGCAAGCGATGGTTCCGCGTAAGTTACTTCATCCCCACTTACTGATGTGTGCTTGATACCAAAGGTATTACTTGTGCTAACGTTGTTGATTGTAGATCTGGGAGTACTTCTTGGCTTACTCCACTATTGCTGCCCGACAGGGTACCGCTACCTGCTTCCAGATTGTGCTGGTGAAGAACATCAACTCCACCCACCGTGTCGAGGGTATCCCCAGCCAGTTCGCCCTTTCTGGAGCTTATGACAACTCCGAGGCCGACATCAAGTCCTGGGCCACCAAGAACAACGTCACTTCCTCCACCGCCTACATCTCGTAGACGGGAATCGTGTGGCTTGTCTCCATGTAGACTGAATCTTCAACCGCTTGCTATCTATTTTGGACAGATGCATTGAACTTTCGTCTTCGGGCAATGTTAGAGGTGTCTTGCGGCCCCATTTCACTTCATTTCAGTATGGTGAATTGAGTGAGCTGAGGCGAAGAAATGTGTGGATTAGTTGAGGTGGCGCGGGCAGTTGTTTTAATGACAGTCACGACATCACCTTTTATTTTCTGATTGGTATGAGGCAAACGGATATGATTCTAGGTACGGCTAGGTTAATCAAGGGTATTAAAAATTGTAAGCTCCCATCTCGCGATGGGGTGCGCGCGTGCTGCAGGATTAGTTAGGCATAGATCGATTCTATAAACAAAGATTGTGTCCATATTGTTGGACCAATCAATCAATTACTTGGACGGTGACCATTTATAGCTTGTTTATTATGGCGGGTGTTGAACCAAGCATCTCTAACCGCTCTCTGGAGGGATGATTGCTTCGGCACCTTGACGTCATACCCATCTCTCACGTCCTCTCATAATGGACTACTTCATATGCCTTTTACTACCTAGTAGTAAGAATGAATCTGACAATAAAAAACGTCAATCTCGTGCAAAGAGCGATTGGAAGGCAATTCATGGGGTCCCGATGAGTGCCGCTCGTAGCCGGTGAGGTACGTTTATTGTTCGCATTGGACCGAGGTGCTCTGTATCGATAAGCTGACAGTCAACTGGCGTACTTTATCGCGACGCTTTGACGGATGTTAATTCTCAACCATTTCTCACTTATACTCTGTATATACACATAAATTATTCTTTTTTTCTCAAATTTATTTACCCATTGACGTACTGCATATACAATGCCGCCAAGGAGATTAGCAACAAAGCTCTTCTGCCGCCGAAAATGGCACTGCATCGCATCAGTCCCAGCTACAGCCAGAGCACCATTTTCATCACATTCAACCAGTTATAACCCCGTCAACGCCCAAGAAATGAAGAGCAGACCACCAAAAGTCATCCGCGACTACCTCGTCCCCATGCCATCCCACCTACTCACCACAACGCTGTCGGACCTCTTGTGCACACCCCTCGCTTCGGGATCGTCGATGGTGATGGAAGGGAGGAGTTTACCGCAGGGCCATCACTTGGTGTATTTCCCGTTACAAACACCAGCTTCGAGACTCGCTAGTGATGGAGCGGATCAGGATCATGCGCCTGATGAGCAGTTTACGAAGAGACTGTGGGCTGGGGGAGAGGTCCGTTTTGGGGGGAGGAAGTTGGTGCTTG